GCCCACTGAAACTCTGAGTGCTGAGATACCTGTTTGTATGTATGTATGTATGTGTGTGTATATCTATATCTATATCTATATCTATATCTATATCTATATCTATATCCCCAGTATTTTCCATATATACATATATTTTCCACATATAGATATCTAAAATCAAATATGAAATCTTGATTATTTTACCCATGAAAAGCTGAGATTGTTTGATATTTTTCTTTAAAAATAGTGTAAACATTCATTTTCTTGGTCAACTGGGCTTCTGATAATATTATCCCTTTGGATCAACCCAGTGCTAAGAAAGCTGTTTTTACAAATGTACCTAGAATTAAAAATTGAGATTGATTTATTGTGCTTCTGGGCAGTTTATTCCACTCAAGCATTTGTCTCCTGGACTGTTGGGTCTGGATGTTATTGCTACATCTGCAGTGATTGGAGGTTCTGGAGGAATTAATTGTGGCTCCTAAGCCAGTAACCTTATTTTTTTAGGAAGCTGATGAAATTGACTTTATTTATGTGATCTCTGAAATATTAAGCTTGAATGTCCTGTCCTGGTAAGGGAGTGGAAGTTACTTTATAATGTTACTTTTGAGTTAATTGTAAATGTTTCATGTAAATTGGATTTAAATTTCATGTAAATCATTTAAGCTGTCCATGTAGAGAATTTAGGAGTTGGAATATTCGCTTACATGTCTGGTCTTGTCCTAATGTTTCTACATTTCACACTGAAATCAAAAGGAAGTTTAATATGCCTCTGATTGCTGTATGCCTTTCTGAGATACATGCTCAGGTTTTGGAATTTATGAAGGTATCAAGAATACTTTTTTGCCTCTGTGAGCAAGCCAAAAGATCAATTTATATAACACTCAATGGAGAAATCTACACTGACTTGCAGCAATAGCTTTGTAATATATATTGTTTCTTAATATTTGAATGATCTTTTTTTAAACGAAGGGGCAAGGAAGAAGACTTTTAAGCAATAGGGCTATATTAAATGCCTGTTGCTGGCATATTTTTTCCAGACATCTTTCCCTTTACATTATACATAATTTTGAATATTTGTAAGTATGTGTGTGTGTATGTGTTGTGTATACATTGATATAAGAAATGAAAATGTATAGATAGTATTGAAAAACTGTTCTAGATCATGAAGACCCTTGACTTGAGATGGCACTTAGGCCCAAACACCTAAATCTGAGACCACACCGTGTTGAGCAGCCAAACCTTTCCCTTCTCAGGCAGGTGTGAATCTAACACAACGATGCACTTAAAAAACAGGCAGAGCTTCAATCACACCACCATCTTGACTTTTCCAACCATACCTTGGGGGCACTCCTGGTTCTGAGTCCTGGGAATTGTTTAATTCTGCTTCTCTGTGTGTGTGCGTGTGTTTGTATGTGCGTGAGTAGGGGAGGGGGCAAGGCAGCCTAAGGAAGCATACTGGGGAACTTGTACAGCACAGGAATACATTTCAGACACGTGCACGTATGCTGTGGGTTGAATGGCTGCTGTAACATGACCCATTTTTTTAAATTAAAACAAATTAGAAATGGAAGACGGGAATACACTGCTACTCTTGAGGAATGTATCAATTGCTTGCATTACAGTCTTAGAAAGGAATGAATTGTCTTTCCAAATAGCCACCAAAGTGGATTCGATATTTTGAGATAATCTGTAGGACCCAGTTTTGCCAACTTGTTTAATGTTCAGACCATAAAACAAAAAGACTTCACGAGGCTTCACTTCCACACCCAAAAGTCTTGTAGCACCATAAAAAATAACATTCCTTTCTGGTGAATGAACATTTTTGATGCATCGTCCTTCCATCTAAAGCACAATTCTTTCCAGGCACCTTACCCGGAAGATAAAATCGGCTTATAGGTTAAACTTTGTACCCCCAGCTGCAGATTGTAAGATTCAGGACATATTTCAGACTGAAGAAAACTGTTTGCCTCAAAAGTCTTAAATAGCCTCTATTTATTTGTCTACGTGGGCATGTCAAACATGTCTAGAACATTTTGGAAAACAATTGCCCCGGATTTCCCCCAAGCAGAAAATTTAGGACAAGGTTGGGAGTCCCAAGTTTTTGGTAGGGTGGGGTGAGGCAGAGGCAAAAAGGCACAAGACCAGTTTGAAGCCAACCCAAATCCTGATTGTAAGGCTTACATAAGAAGAATGTTGAATTCTTCTTAAGAAGAAGAATGTTGTTTACAAGCAGGGCAGAGAAGGCTGTTTCAAAAGGGTGTCATCCATAGCTTCAAGGCAAATACAATGCCCTGGGTTGTACCACACCCATATCCGCATGAAGTTGGAGAATATATACAATGCAGCCCCCTTGCCAACACGAAGCATGCCGACAGGACCACAGCCCACCAACAGATTACACAGACTGGCATTCCCAAAGGAGTTGGAATATCCATGTACACTCTCTACGTACACACTCTAACGGACCTCTAATGGAAAAATACAGTTCCACGCCCAAACAAATTAGGTCTTCAATTGCTACAGTCCAAGGCAGCTCTACAAACTCCAGATGCCAAATCTTTCCCCAGGGAAATGGGATAATTCTTCAATTATCTAGCTCATTTCTTCAGGACATTGTTAGCCTGCTGGCACGGATGCCAGCTGGAAACTTTGGGATGTTGTTCTGTTATGAAACCATTACTCAGGCTGTAATCTGATAGTCTTCAAGAAGATTTTTACACATCAGGCAAAGCCATCGTTTACAAAGCCAGCATCGCGTCTGAAGGTTGGGCAGTGGGTCGCTTTGCATCTAGAACGTTATGATTGCCCATCCACCCAGTCCTATTTTAAGCTGCTGGTCATTTGCTAAAGCTGATTTATTGCACTCAGGTTTCAATGTGGGATGAAGTTCTCTAAACCATTTTTTTCCCTGCTGGATTTAAGTCCATCCTTTAAAAAAGGTAACTTGAAGTCTTTCATGGACTTTTGCATATTTAATGGTTGGTTGGGAAGGAAAAAACATGTTGAGGATGAGTTCCGTTTGCATTCATCTTTTAAAAAATATCTATCTATCTATCTATCTATCTATCTATCTATCTATCTATCTATCTATCTATCTATCTACCTACCTACCTACCTACCTACCTACCTACCTACCTACCTGTTGCACAACAAGGGAAGTGTTATGGTTGTTTATCAGTGACACCAAACCTGAATTCAGTTTGGAATTTAGGGTGAAACGATGATGTTCTCACTGCCCTTATTTGTTTTGAACACCCATGGAAGCCAACATTCATGCTTGACTGAATTGGCAACTTGCAACTCAATCAAAAGAATGTGCAGGAGGGAGAAGGGCACTCAAAATATGGGTGATAAGGAACTGGGCAGACAAAAATTAGCCAGGGCTACAGAAGCTTCTTTCAAACCATATACATTAAGACAGGTATAGGCAAACATGTACACCTTAATTTAAAGGCATATTATCTTTCAGAACAACCCCACAACTGGGACAGAATAAATGTAAGGTTTGAGAAAGGAGAAGCTGGCTGAAATACATCTTGATAGATGCACCTGTCCCTACTTTCCAGAAAACAATCATATTCTTTCTCTGTACAGGAGCTCGGTTCTTTGCATTTCTTATGGGTCTGCTAATAAACCAGACCCCCCCCCCCCCCGTTTTGACTGTAAAAGGAAGCAAGAGAGAGAGAGAAAGAAGGAAGAAAAAAGGGAGCGAGAGAAAGAAAGAGAGAAAGAGAGATCCCAGTTACAAACCGGGTCTGGCAAGAAGCAAAGTAATAAAAGGAGGAGAAAAGAACTAGAAAAAGGGGAGTTAAGGGTCGGGGAGACGAGGGCATCCTAGGCAAAGCGAGAGGGCTGAGCGCCGCCGCGGGCGGTCTCGCTTACCGATGGTGATGCACGCCAGCACGACCGCGCAGAGCCCCAGCACTTTCCCCATGGCGTAGCTGTTGTGCCGACGGACGGAGGGGCAGCGAAATGATCCCGCAAGGAAACCCGGCGACGGCTTAGAGTGCCTGAGGAGTCTCCCCCCGCCTGCCCCCTCCTAACTGTACAGCCACGTGATGTGCTCCACCTTCCCACGCCCGAACTGGCTCGCTGGGTGGGTCCCGAGCGCGCGGCCGTCCTCTGGCTGGCGTGGGCCCGGGGCGGGGGCAGGAGCGGTGAGTCAGATGGGCACGGAGGGGGAAGGGGAGGGAAAGAAGGGAGAAAAAAGGGAGCGAGAGAAAGCGAGAGAGAAAAAGAAGGAAAGAAAGAGGGAGAAAGAGAAAGAGGGAAAGAGAAAGAGAGGGAAAGAGAGAGAGAGAGAAATAAAGAAAAAGGGAGAGAAAAAGGAGCAAGAGAAAGAAAGAGAAAGAAAAAGACAGGGAAAGAAAGAGGGAGAGAGAGAGAGAAAGAAGGAAGGAAAAGGGAGCGAGAGAAAGAGAGAGCAAAAGAAGGAAAGAAAGAGGGAGAGAGAGAGAAAGGGAGAGAGAAAGAAAGAGAGGGAAAGAAAGAGAAAGAAATAAAGTAAAAGGGAGAGAAAAAGGAGCAAGAGAAAGAGAGAGAAAGAAAAAGAAAAAGACAGGGAAAGAAAGAGGGAGAGAGAGAAGGAAGGAAGAAAAAGGGAGCAAGAGAAAGAAAGAGAAAGAAAATGACAGGGAAAGAAAGAGGGAGAGAGAGAGAG